CCACTTCAACATTCTGATGATTCAGACTTTGTTTTCAGAATGTTGATTATGGCAAAAGGCAACATGTTAGTATAGAAACTAGAGGTTTAGGCAGATTCAGGGCCATAGCCAAAGGCATCACTAGGTTTCCTATAATAGCTAGGGACATGATATCATGCTGTTGCACATTTTCTCTACCTTCCCTGTTCAGTTTTATTGGCTGACCCCAGGTCAGAAAAATGTATAATAAAATGAAGGCACAACATGCATTGAATGAAGCTGATGTTAGCAAGCTTATGTTAAGAGAGGGTGGACATAAGATAAGGGGCTGCTGCCTGTAATGGCAATTGCCATGGCCTTCATGGTGTTCCAAGCTCACCGTCCGTGCATTTTGTTCCCCAGGACCGATATGGCTGCAAGAAATGTTATGCATTGAACAAAACTGTTCTGAAATGAGAGGTGTACATTGTGCCATGTGGAATGTGATGCTCAGAAATAAGAGATATCCCTTAGCTCAGAAAGACCTTTAAACATTAGCTTAGGTGTCCCCTGGGTTTGAAAGTTGCCATGAGCTGAAATATGAATGATACTTTAGATACTCCAGAGGTCCCTTCCATGGCAATAAAGCAGATACTTCCAGATTGCAAAATACTGTGCAGTTAGCTCAAAGTCCTTGGGTTTTAAATCAGAAGTTTGGTTTAAACACTCATGCACACAAGCACAGACACACACACACATATGCACACACACCCTTCAGCAAAATAAAAATAAAGCAAACAGCAATGGAAAACGTAATTGGTAGCTTCAGGCCAGTATAACATCCGTGGCCAAGGATAATGTATCTTTAAGTACTTGTAATCTTTTGAAATTCCTCCCGGCCATGCCCGAGAGAGGACATAAAGATTACCAAATGGGAGGTGGGAGGGAAGTGACTTGGGGGAGAACTTTGCCAGACACACTTTAAGAGACTAATGGATTTCTAATGTTTACATTCTTTATATACAAACCTGCTTTATAAATGATCCTGGCATTAAAGCTGTAAAACAAAGTCATAAAAACAGCCTGCAGCTCAAGCATAGAACATAAATGCCTTTTTTCCACAGGCAGATGAATGAGAGGCAGTGGAGAGAGCAATCAATATTTATGTGCCTTATCTGTGTTTCTGTGTTGCTGTCAGGGAGATGGTAGATAGACAGGGGTATGTATTACCAGCTTCTTGGGCTGGGTTGAAGTTTGCCTCTCTCGTGCTCAGTGCGTACCTTGAGAGTGTTTCAACCAACTCTTCACCCGATTGCAATATACTGTGTCCCATTTTATAGGGTGAACTTAGAATGCCAGATAACAGCTTTTCTATCACTATGGTTGTAGCGGTGGCGTCATCTGAAATTTGACACCTCCATCATGGAGAAAATCCTATACCTTCCCCATATTTTGGTATAGAATAATTGCAACAGAGTTTTCCCTGAGTTTGGTTTAGATGTCACACTCCAATATGTATACGTGGAAGAGAATATCACCTAGAGGAAGGTAGTATAAAGCGAACAAAGAAATAAAAGAGAGGATTTTGCCCATGGTGTGTGTGTGTATTTGACTTTTGTATTATTCTTATTCTGTTTGATCAAATTAATATGTTTTTATAAGTAGGGTAGTCTTTTTCCAAGATTCATGGCATTAAGTCCAGAAAGTTTAAAATGTCTAAATATTAGGTGAATCCTTTTGGTACTGCACCAAGAGTTTAATAGAAAATCAAGGATGAAGCTGTAGATCATCTTACAGGGACTGTAATAAAATCACTCAAAGAGTACAAAATATCATGACAGAGTTGCAAAAATTGTCCATTGAAATTTAAGTAAAAAATTGGACTTTACTACTGTATATGCAAAAGCCACTGGGACCATTTGCCTGAAAAAAAAAGAAGTAAAATAAAGAGATCAAAATTTTGCTTCATTTCAGAATTCAAACTGATAGGCACTTAGAACATAATACACTGCCGTCACTGTTATAGGAAAGAAGAAAGCATGGGTCATTGGTGTGGCAACACTTGGAGACATCTGAATTGATGAAAACCAACTGGAGAACATAAGTTATTTTGATTTACAAACTGAGGTTGAAAGGCAACGGAGGGCAAAATCTACTGTCTTACTGATTAGATGATGAGAATGATTTTGCTTCTATTCAAACTGCGGCCCGTTTCAAAGAATAAATAGTAATGACCACTTTATCTCTATTAGCTATGGGACCTACATGGAAGGGGGCATTTTATTCTTCATAATGATCTTGGACAAGCATTTTCAATTTAGCTCCAGAAAAGCCCATTCATCATAACACCGTCTTGTCTTGATTCAAGCTTCTTGCTCCTACCATTCCATTCTGGGTTTCTCCTCAGATGCCACTTACCAGCTTTGGGCTGCTGTTGTACAGTGGCTCACAAGGGCACGCCAGGAGGGCATTGTGTGCCTCAATTACCAGGCATCTCTGTGCAGTTGGTAAGGTTCAGAGAAAATTATAGACCTGAACATGAAATTAAGAGGGGGGTGAGGGAGGGGATACCTTGCCGCAATAGAGAGTAGGGAGTAGAGAAACTGGGGAGCACGCACACACGCGCACACACAGATTAGTTTGGAGTTTAATTTGCTGTTTCCAAAAGAGCAGTTAATGGATTATGACAAATGTCCTATTGCTTTCCCTAGTGCTGTGTTAAAATGGAAATGGAAAGTCAATTTTCCTAAATGGATTTTAAATGGCTTTGTGTATATGTTTCTGAGAAAGAGAGATTTGCTCAGGAGGCATCTCAGGCTGGTTTGGGTCTGCTCCATTGTGTTTCCTAAAGACTCCAAAAGAAAGTTATCCTGATTTGTGGCGAGCAGTGACAAGCTTTTCTGATGGTTTCATGCAGTTCTTTCGGTGACTTTAGCCTGTCTTACTGGACTTGCTAAAGGTTTTTGCCAACTCCTTTCTGCTACCTTGTAAGAAAAGTGCATTATGCTTTTTCATCATGGTGGCCCTCTTGATTCCTAATTTAAAAAAAAAAAAAA